CACATTCAGGTAAACATTAAGACCATTTAGCAGGAGTTTAGCAGTTCAGTGTGCTCTGCATATCCTGTCCCATTTCTGCTGATGGGGAGGAGATGTACGTGTACAAAGAGCTTCCTCTCCAGCAGCCTCCTCTGATTCATGCAGTCCTGTCACCGACTCATGTTCCCGATGTCGTAATAGCTTCAATTCTGACAGACTACAGCATCAGTGAATTAATGGGACAGGAAAAAACAGGTTACAGGAAAGGAGGAATGATGCAAAAAGCTTGAAGATAATTCAATGAGTTTTGATTCCAAAGCCGGATTGTTCTTCTCCTCCTGACACCTGCAAGCAGCTTTCAATTCCCAAGCCAGCGTGAATGCGCATTACCCTAAAGACCCTGCAATGACAGCAGGAGCCTTCATTTTGTGTTTTGTGCTTTAAACACAGCGAGATGAAGGCAAACTGCTTTAAAAGCCAAGCCTGAAAAAGTTCTTTCAATAATCGTGACTACCAGGGGCCACTTTAACCCTAGCCCTCAAGAAATCCCTTCTGACACGGTTGGTTTGAGCACAGAAAGCATTGGGAGGATGACTTGTGGAAGCCACATCTATCAGAGCACAGCTCCAAAACGCAGTCAGGTAGCAGAGCACAGGGGCAATGTGCTTTGGTTATCTCAGCTTAGCCCCCAACAAATATTTGTGCATCTGCCAAAGTTCACCAATGAATCCATGCAGTGGCTTCAGTTCAAAACACTCTGCGGAGCAGGGGCAGAGAGGCAGAACGGGTGCAGGAGGCCCCGTTCACCATGCACCGACCAAAGCAGGGATGCTACAGCCCCCTTCACATCCTCTTAAAATCATGGGGCTGCCATGAAGCCAGGACTAGGGCTGCTGGGCTGAGCCTGGCCTCCATCAGCTCTGCTTAGGTTAACACATAAGCTCCAGGTTCCAAAGAGAGGCGTGCAACTGCAGGCACGCTGTTCTCACACAATACTCCCCATGCTCTCACTGCATTGCTCCTCATGTCATAGAGAGCTCAAATACACCTGTGGAAGTTGGGAAATTCCCAGCTAAGGGCTCCAGGAACAGGCCTAATGCTGCTCACACACCATCATCACCTACAGCACGAGCAGATGCACCTACTGCCAAGTGACACCCAGGGCTGCCATGCAGCACCCAAATGATGGGGTAAGGTCCCTCCTTGCCCAGAAACCCCAGGATGTGAGTATGAAAAGCAAAGGATGAATGCCACAGATGGGGTATCCATGTGATTTAGGTGAGGATAGATACACCATCTCCCCATCAAGCATGGAGGAGTGGGGCCAGGATAAAGAATGAAAGAGGAAAACAAGGCAGGGGCATGAGGAGATCCTTTGTACCTCATCATGGATGGCAGCAAAGCCGGAAGCCTCTTGCCCCCGGGGCAAAGCCATGCCCTTCTTTTTCTGGGAGGGGTGGGAAGGCCTGTACACACCCCCAAAGGGAACGCAGAAAACTCCAAGCTAACATCAAATTACGTTCCTCGGAGATGCAGGAGCTGTTATGGGCTAAAACACTGCAGCTCACCAGGGGACAGACTGACCTGGGACGCGCTCTCCCCTGCTCAGCCCTCAGCTGCGGGGCTCAGCACTCGGTTTCACAACTGCGTGGAAGCAGTTTCAGGGGTAGCAAGTTTCGCAAGGAGCAGGCAGGCGACATCTTAAGGTGTCCTCCATGGAGCCAGTGAGCTACAGGAGAAAGAAATCCTCTCAAGGAGCCAGCAGCCCTGGGACCTGAACCTCTTCAGCAGCAGCACCATGATCTCTGTATGCTACAGGGAAGCAGCTTGCTGAAACACAGAGCTGGGCATCAGTATACAGACCCATGACTGTTTTCCCCACCAGGCCATGTATGATTTAGCCAGAGACCCAAGCAGGAGGGACTCAAGACAGCAAAGATCTGGCTGTCCATAGTCCTGCTGCACACATGGCCCAGCTCCACACCAGCAACACGACTGCCCTGGCACCAGGGACACTCAAACCAAGTGGCAGCTCGCCCGGCTGGGTGATCACTTTTGGATTGTGTAATCCCCAGACATGATTCTGAGCCCAAGAACAAACTCAAGCAACCGAAGACATTCCCCTCCTGTCCTGGCAAAGAGACAGAGCCTTGTCGCAGGAATCGCCCCGACGTGCTGCCCCGGTGCCTAAAACAGGTCAGACTGCACATGTTGGGCTGCAGGTAACACAAACAGCAGTATTGGATTCCAGGCCATTATACACATTACACAACCCTGCCGTCAGTTCTACCACACTGAAAACCAAAGCGAGCAGCAGAAGCCTTAGCAAGTTTTTTCCATTTACCTACTGCAGCCCAGAATTACCCCAGAGCCTGGACAAACACCCGCTCCCAAGGTGAGCTGGAAAGTCACTCCTTGGCACGGCGCGCTTCCGAGCGAGCAGAGACCTTCACCACGCTGCAGAAACTGTTTATAGAACAAATGCAGAATGAGCATATGTGTTTAATAGCCCACTAATTGTTGCGTTATTCACTGTACAAACAAGCGAGGTCCTCTGCCCTTATCCCTTCCTGCCCAGTTAATCACCAGTAGCCTTTGACTACTTCTCTTTTGGGTGGCGGTGAAGGAAGCAAAGTTCATTAGTGGCCGGTGGCCACCAAACAATCCCCACACCAGACTTCATTTAGCAAATAAACACCACTATTCATGTGTGACACAGACCGGGAATAACTTCCCAAAATATGGAACGCAGCCGCCTGCAGTCTTCCTATTCTCCCTTCCTCCAAGGAAAACGCTTCTGAATGTATAGGAGAGCAGTTCTGATGCTGGGTTTTTCCTTTTTCAGAGGGGGGAAAAGCCAATAACCCATCTTCTCCATGACACCTCTCGCTGCTGATTTCTCCTAATGCTGATAAACTCATTAAAATCCATGGGGATAAACCCTGGTCCAGTAATTCCCTTCGTCCTCGCACCGAGATTGCCCAATTGGGGGATGTGATGTAACCACTACCCGACATTAAAAATAGTGTTGTGACAACATATGGGTTATCCTACAGAAGCTGCAGGCAGGACGCTCCTCATGGCAAACGGGTTCAGGTTCCAGCTCCCCGGCAAGGTGAGGGCCAGACGCGAATCCATAGGGAATGGCCACAAAAAGGGGAGTTTTACCCCCCCCAACCACCAGCACAGGCCGAGCGCTGCCATTATTCCCTATTTAACCGGTTGAGAACCACTTGGGCCCATGGCGAGGAAAGGAGAACCTGGGGCTCTCAAATACAGCCCCGCGGAGGGCACCGGCCGATGGGGGGGGCACAACCGGGTGCTGCAGGGAGAAGGACCCCCCCAAGGCCGGATGCCAGCACCGGGAGCCACATCCCCGGGGTTACACCGGCACCCCCCCCCCCCGGCAACCCACGTCATGGTCACCGAGGACACAGAACCCCCCCCCTCAATCCACTTACCGGGGCCTGGTGGCGGCTACCAACCACCACCACGGGGAGGGGGGGCACCGAGAGCCCACCCCCGGCCCCGGTACCCACCCGAGGGGGGGGGGGTGGCACCGAGGTCTCGGCTCCCGGGTCCCTCAATCACCCACCGCTGTGGGGGGGGCACAGTGTGGTCCCGCCATCGGTTACCGCGGGGGGGCCACCGACACCTCCCGGTCCCCTCAGGCACTTACCGGAGGATCATGACGCCTCCTCGGTCACCTACCGGAGGGGGGGGGCACAGAGGCCACTCAGACACCAACGGGGGTGGGGGGGACACCATCAATGGGTCCTCACAGAGAGGGGGACCGGGAGCCCCTCACGTCCCCTCCATCCCTCACCAACAAGGGCCTCACACCCAGCGCCCCCCCTCTATTTCCCCGGTCCCCCCCCCGGGGTCCGCCCCCCGTCCCACACCCCCCCCACAGCCACAGCCCCGGGCCCCCCCCGCCTCACCTCACCTCACCTCACCTCACCCCGCTCCCCACCGACGCCGGTGCCAACCCCACCGGTGCCGCCCGTTGTAGGGCTCCGGCCGGGGCCTCGTGGCGACCGCTCGCCCGCCGCGGGGCCGTGCCCGCCGTCCCCCCCCCGCTCCGTACCTTACAGGCCTGGTAGCTCTCGAAGGCGCGCAGGGCGCTCTCCGTGAGCTTGACGTGGAAGACGGAGACGCGGGTGCCGCGGCCGAGGCGGCCGCAGGACAGCCCGTACCCGCGCTCCGCCTGCAGCGCCGCCATCTTGGGACCGTCTCCCCCTCCGCGCCTGGGCCGCCGGGGCCTCCCGCCGAGGCCACGCCCCGCTCATGCATCATTCATGAGCCGCCGGCCCTGACGCCACGCCCACCGGGGGAGCCTGTTGCTGGGGCGAGGAGGTGGGCAGCGGGCGCTCCTATTGGCCGAGCTACGCCGGGCATTGCACCGGATTGGGAGATGGGAAGAAGGGGCGGGGATATGCAAATAAGCCCGCGGTGTACGGCGGGAAGGGTGGTCTTGGGTACCCCCGGTGCAGCCCCGGTCACAGCCTCCGGGACCCGCGCCGAGGCAGGGCCCATAGGCCCCTGGTTGCCCCCCGCCGGTGCTCAGCGGGTCCGTCCAGAGCCAAGCACCGCCCCCAGGCTCCGAGCATCCCGTGCCGCAGCGCCCGCTGCAGCCACACGAGTGTGGACGGTGAGAGGGGGGCAGCCAAGAGGAGCATCCCCGGCCCTCGGCAAGGACGAGGCGCAAGCGTGAAGGAATTGTCCTTTATTGGGGAAGTTCACAGTCGGTCTGGGGTGGGAGGAAAGTGCTACAACCCCCGGAGGCAGAGCTGAGCCCCGGGGCTGGGGAGAGCCGCAGGGAAAAGAGGGACCCCAAAGAGCTTGGACCCACACGAGCCGGCCCCGGAGAGCATCCGGCGCTCCCCCTGCATCCCGCCCGCCGCAGCGTTCTTTGGCTTCCTTTGGACACTGCACGCTCTGGGGAAGTGCTGAGCGCGGCAGCGGGTGCTGGTGCAGGGCTGAGCCACCGGCAGCCCCCCAGGACATGGGGAATGTCACTGCACATCCGCACCGCTTCCCTTCCTGCAGAGACCACTGTGCTTCATACCCATGTGCTTTCCTTCCATGTGCCTCCCCTGCCCGTCTTGCCGTGCCAGCAGCACCGTGGCACCCATGGGGGTTCATTTGTCTGGGGACAGCCATGGTTGTACCGGTGCACAGGAGCTCCTGCTCCCTCCAACAGCCTCAGGGCTGGGGGCTGAGCCCCCCCATTGCCAGGCAGGGGCTCAGGGGGGCTGTGCCCTGCCTGCGGCTCCATCCCCACAGCTGTGCCACCGGGAGGGATACGGGGGGACAGCGGGAGGGGGGATTCGGCACCTCCGGCAGAGAAAGCATCGTATTCCTGCGAGTCCATGGGAAGGGGTCAGCGAGGCCCCGGCAGGGGAGAGGCAGATCCCAGTGCAGGTCCTGTGCCACGGGGCCACCCCGTTGCCATCCTTAGTTCCTCGCTGCAATGACCACAGACAAGGCCACGCCGCCGAGCGCGATGGCTGTCGCACCGAAGAGCCACTTCCAGGGGATGGACTGAGGAGGAGACATGGGCGCTGTGAGGGGACGGCAGCGCTTCCACCCTGCCCAGCCACTGGGAACAAGCGGGATCCCTCTGCTGGAATCACTGGGATCTGACTTTCCCAGAGCACAGGCCCCCACATCAGCATCAGCACCACCGTGACCCACAGGGACCTTGGGGACACCCACACATCCCCTGTGCCACCCCCTGGAGGTGCAGCCCCAGCCCTAGCCCTTACCCAGCGCAGTTTGTCTTTGCACTTCCCGGGCGCCCCAGTGGCACTGGGATTCCCGAGCATCTTCCTGTACATCTCGGTCTCCACGTTCCTCTGGTCCGCGTGCTTCTTCACCAGCTTCGAGAGCTCGGCGTGGATGGTCTGGGGAGGAGAGCGTGGAGCTGTGGGGATGGGGACCACAGGGCCACCACCAGTGAGCCCCACCGCCCCGGGGCCAGCTTTGTGGAACAGCTCAGAAGCAGCCAGCGAGGGGGGGGCTGATGGCCTGATCCTGCCCCACTGCCCTGCACTGATGAGTTGGGCATCCTGTGGGGCTGAGCACCCATGTGTTGTTGGGCCACTTGAGCCATTCCCTGTGAGCAGCAGGGAGCAAAGCCCAGGGTTGATGCCAGACATAAGGAAAAGGATTTTACCCTGTAATGGAGACAGGGAAGTGTCTGCCTTGGGGGCACAGACGTGCCCCAGTGCTCCCACTTCTCTGTCTGGAAGCAGGCTGGGAAAGTGGGCTTGGGGAAAGAGGGAAGCAGGACTGCAGCAAGACCCAGAGCACGCTGGTACCCACCTGGCTGTGCTGAGCGGTGGCAATGGCTGTGCCTGCAGGTAATGCTGCAGGGGCATCCCCTGAATCCTGCACAGAGCAGGAGGTGCTGCTGAGCCAAGCGTGGCACCACCAGCCCATGGCCACCACCGTGGCATCACCATGCCCAGCACCGCGGCTGTGCTGTGCCCTCTGCTGGGGACACCATGCTCCGGGTGGCTCCAATACCTCCCTGTGCCCCACACGGGCTCACCCAGAGACACAAACGCTGGCATCTCCCTGCTCCAAGGGGTCAGGAGAAGGGAAAAGAGAAGGCTCAGGGGGGACCTGATGGCTCCCTACAAGTGCCTGACAGGAGGATGGAGCCAGGAGGGGCTGGGCTCTGCTCCCAAGGAACAAGGGATGGGACAAGAGGAACCAGCCTCAAGCTGCACCAGGGCAGGGTTAGATGGAGCTGAGGAACAATTCCTGCCCCAGAGGGTGCTCAGGCATTGGAACAGGCTGCCCAGGGCAGGGCTGCAGTCACCGTCCCTGCAAGTGCTCACACAGCATGGAGATGAGGCCTCAGTGCCATGGGTTAGGGGTGGGAATGGTTGGACTGGATGAGCTTGAAGGCCATTTCCACCCCGGCTGATGCTGTGATTCCAGGCTGTGATGGTTCACAACAGCCGGGAGGGGCCGATGGCCCCACAGAACCAGGCGGAGCCGGGCGGTTTTGGGGTGTTTTCACCCCGGTAGCCGTGGCCCTGACTCACCGGTGCGTGTTTAACGCTGACCGGCAGCCGAGAGGCCCCTCGTCTGCTGCGCCTGTGGCTCCAGGCACGTCACTGCCGGGCAGCCGGATTGTTCCACCCCTCTCCAATTAAAACACTTTGTTGGGATGGGCGGTGGAGCAGCCGCCCCGGCAGCGACGTGCGGGGATGCACTGGGAATGATGCTCCCAGTGCTGCCGGCTCCCTCGCCACCCTGCTCATCCGAACCCTGCTCATCCGAACCCTGCTCATCCGAACCCTGCTCACCCGAACCCTGCTCACCCGAACCCTGCTCACCCGAACCCTGCTCACCCGAACCCCGCTCGCCCGAACCCTGCTCACCCGAACCCTGCTCACCCGAACCCTGCTCACATGAACCCCGCTCACCCGAACCCTGCTCACCCGAACCCTGCTCACATGAACCCTGCTCACCCGAACCCTGCTCACCCGAACCCTGCTCCCCCGAACCCTGCTCGCCCGAACCCTGCTCCCCCGAACCCTGCTCATCCGAACCCTGCTCATCCGAACCCTGCCCACCCTTCCCCATGGTGCTGTGAGACCGTGAGCTCTGTGGGTGCTATGGGACCAAGAGAGCTTTCACAGCATTCCATCCTGCATCGTATCACGACACAAACCACGATACTCCGGTTCCAAATAAATGGATAAACCACCAAGATCCGGTTGGGGTCGGAGCCCATTTGTAGAACCAGCCCCCAGTGCACCCAAGCTGGGGCCATTTCCTGGCGCTGGCTTTCCCTTTGTGCCAAGGATCCTGTCCTGCAGCTGATCATTAACCCACAGGAAATTCCTGACCCTGGCCTGGCGCTGGCACGAGGTCCAGGCTGCTCCCACCACGCAGTGAATCACCCCGGGGCTGCTGAGCCACTCTGCAGGCACCCGGCTCTGCTCCACCTCCCGCAGCCGCAGCACGAGCCAATGGAACCACCTGGCAAAGCCGGAGCAGCCGGGACCATGCACACATGGATTGCTGGAGCAGGGATGGGCTGGCAGCAGGGACCAAAGAGCAAAGAGGGAGCTCGCAATAGGGAGATAAGGGAGCCACCAGCCCAGCCAAGCTCAGGCATTGCACCATGTGGTGCATCACCTCCTGGTTCCCAGCCTCCTTTCTTGAAGAGAGCTGGGAACAGCTATGGGGACTTCAGCTTTCAGTGGGGACACCGAGGTTTGCAGGGATATGGACAAGAAGAGAGCATCGCAGACACGCAGCTCAGCAGGATCACCAGCACCACATCACAGCAGCCTACCTTGTTTGAAGGCTCCAGCTTCAACGCTGCCTTCAAGATGGAAATGGCCTCTCTGAACTCGCCCTGCTGAGCCAGGACCTGGAAAGCAGGATACGGCTTGAGCCCCACGGGTGACGTCTGTCCCTTGGTCCTGCTCTCCACCACGCCATGGAGAAAGGCTGCCCACACACCCGGCCTCACCTTGCCCTTGCGGAACAGAGCCTTGATGTTCCCTGGCTGGTGCTCCAGGACGAGGTTACAGGACTTGAGAGCTGCCTCGTAATGGTCCAGTTTCAGCTGAGAAGCCGCCAGGTTGTTGAGACATTTCACCTTCACGTCCAGCAGCTCAGCCTCCTCGCCCGGGCTGAAGTCCACTGCAAAGACCCCAGGGCAGGTTACAACGGGAAGGGAGCCGGGGCACCCTTTGCTGGAGCAGGCAGGTACCTTTCGAGCTGGAGCTGATGATCTTGAGGGCGATGTCGTAGGAGTTGATGGCCAGCACGTAGTCTGCCTGCTGGTAGAAGAAGTTGCCGCGCTCCCGCTTGCGGTTGGCCAGCTCCACCTTCTCCTTCCCACTGAGCAGCTCCAGGTCTGGGGCATCCCGAGCCTCCAGCAGCTCCACCTCCAGGGTGAGGGCTGCGTTGGGTGGGATGTCAGGGCTCCTGTGCAGAGGAGGACACAAACCCATGGCACCGCTGACAGTGCCACGGGCACTGTGCCATGGAGGTTTAGCACCACAGGCCAGGAATCAGAGCTCCTTGGGATAAGGCATGATGCAAACTGCTCCCCCTGGGCAGGACACGCTGCTGTCCCGAGTGGGGTCTCCCTGCTCACATAACCTGTGCCGTGGTGGCTGGATTAGCACTGGGAGAGCAGGGGACAGCTTTCAGAGCCCTGCTTGGGGCCATCCTGCTCCACCCGGTGCCCTCCCCGCTCACCTGCCCTGAGCTCCATAGCAGTACTTTGCATCTGACACGATCAAAGCTGTCTCTCCCATTTCCAGGAGCTGCACACACAGGTCCAGAGCCTGAAGGGAACAACATCACGGGGAGGGAATGAAAGCAAAGGCAGAGGGGCCGCTTCCAACCCACAAATGAGGATGCCACTGTCCCCGAACCCCCCCAACCCCGTGCCCCGCACACACGGATGGAGCCCTGACCTGCACCACATCGCAGTCCCCCAGTGTGAAGGTGAGGGCAGGGTTCTCCTCCACCACGCTGCCGTCCTCCAGCGCGGCCTTCAGGCGCACGGTCACGTCCTGGCCCTTGCGGGGCCGCGTGTCCGCCCCCCGGCCCGGCACCAGCGTCTTCTTCTTGAGCAGCCCGCTCCCTGCGACGGGAGAACCGGAGCCGCGTTACCCGCGCCGGGGAGGGGGGAGCCCGGCCCCCACCGCCCTGCTCAGCCCCTGTTCGGTGCTGAGGCCCCGCTCGCCCCGGGCCCTCACCCAGCACATCCAGCCACTCCTGCGGGTCCTCGGCCGCTTCCCTCCCGCCCCGCTCCTCCGGCGGCGGGGCCGGTGGCCGGGACACGTCCTCCAGCGGCGGCATCTCGCTCAGGTCCTCCTCCTCCTCCTCCTCCTCTTCCAGCACCTCGAAATCCTCCGCCGTGTCCAGCGCCGGTTCGGGGCCGCTGCCGTTGCCCGCCCGGCCCGGGGAACCGCTCCTCGGTTCCTCCCCGCTCGAAGCCATCGCCGCGGAGCAACCTGGAGCGGGGAAAAGAGGACGGGGCTCGGGCCTGCGCATACCGGAACCGGGCAGCACCGGGGGGGGCGAAGAGTCCGGTAACCGCGGGAAAAGGGGGGAGATCCCCGCGCCACGCGCCTTCCCGCCACCCGCGGGGACCCCACGTCACCGTCACGCGCCGGGACTCCCCCTGGCAACGGCCGCCGCCGCCGCGCGCCCACCCGGCCCCGCGAACCCGGCGGCCCCGCCCCGCTGCTCCGATTGGTCCCGCCCCGCCCACCGCTCTGACACCATTGGCTGGGGAGAACGCTCGTCAGCCAAGAGCTGGGCGGGGCTTGGAGCCGCCTTAAAGGGGCCGCTGCGGGGTGGTGCCCGCGGGAGTGGGGCGGGGGTCCCGGCACCGGGAGGAGGGGGGGTTCCCCCGCTATGTCCCGGGGATGGCGCCGGGGGGGGGAAGATCCCGGCCCTGTCCCTCCGCCACCCGCCACTACTTCCGGCTCTGCGCCGTGACGCAGGGGCACGCTGGCGCCGCGGGGTTGCGCTCGACGTGACCCGGTACCCGGAAGCGAGGTGCGGCCGCCGGTGCCGCCGCCGTTCCCGTCATGTGAAGCAGCGGGACCGGCTCCCCCAGGTGCGCGGGCACCGGAGCGCGCAGGGCCCCAGGGACCCCGGGGCTGGGAGAGGAGGGGGGGGCAGGCAGGGGACCCCGGGTGAGTGTGGGGCCGCCCCGGGACTGGGCACGGCGATAGCGAAGGGGGGTAGGTCCGATACGGGCGGCGTGGCAGGGGGCCCGGTTACCGGCGTCTCCGTTCCTGGTGCTGAGCCGCCCCCTGCAGTCCCGCAGGAGCGATGGAGCCCACGGCCTCGCAGGTGTTCTGCGGGCGGGTGCTGGGCATGGTCAACGCCGAGGACGTCAACGCCATCATCCTGGCCCAGAAGAACATGTGAGTCCCGGGGGAAGCGGCACCGGCACCGGGAGCCTCCCGGGGTCCATGCCGAGCTCCGTGCGCTTCCCCCGCGCAGGCTGGATCGCTTTGAGAAGACCAACGAGATGCTGCTCAACTTCAACAACCTCTCCAGCGTCCGCATGCAGCAGATGAGCGAGCGCTTCCTCCACCACACCAAGACGCTGGTGGAGATGAAGAAGGATCTGGACGGCATCTTCCGGAGGATCCGGTGGGCAGCGGGGACGGGAGCGGTGCTGCGGGTCTGGGTGGGTGTGAGGGGTGGAAGGGAGAACATGGAATGGTCTTGGAGGGGCAAATGTGCTGCTAAGCAACGTGGATTGGAGCTGCTGGAGCTTCGGGATCCCTCAGCCCCGCTCCAGCCGGGATTGGCTGTGCTCCCTTGGGAGGGAGCTGGCACTTGGAGCACCCCATCTGCTGGGATGGGGTGGTGGGGAGGGAGCCCCAGGAACCTCCAGGGCTCAGCTGTGATATCCACGAGCAGCTCTGCTGCAGCCTCACCTCACCCTCCTCTCCCCAGGGCGCTGAAGGGGAAGCTGGCGAAGCAGTACCCGGAGGCCTTCAGCAGTGAGTGAATCCTCCCAGCGCGGGTTTCCCTCCTGTGCCAGAATCCCATTCCTTAAAGATGCACCGGGTGGTCTGTGGGGGTCGGGAGAAGCCACCGAGACATCCACTTGTGCTAAAAGTCATCTTGATTGTATCAAAGGTGTTTGGGAGATGTTCCAAACGGCCGCTCACTGATGTGGCATCACTTTATGTATTGGGGACATGGGCAGACAACACCTTAGAAGTGAGCCAATTGTCCTGCTGGGTGCAGCAGAACCGATGCCTGCGCTTCCCCTTGCAGACATCCACGAGTCTCCCATCCTGGAGGACGACGACGACTTTGACCCCATCCCCAAGAGCACCACGACCACCATCGCTACCTCGGAGCAGAGCACGGAGTCCTGCGACACCAGCCCCGACGTCATCTCGCCCACCACGAGCCAGGATTTCGAGGATTTATCCCAAGGCCAGTACGATTTACGGGCCGTGAACGGACAGAGTCTCACAGACGAGGACACAGCCGATGGCCTGGACTAGGCAGCGGGTCCCTGCGGAACTTTGGGCGCTGTGTGCATAGGGGGGTCTCTCTTTGCCGGGAAGAGGGATGCGAAGGCGGGTGCTGGACGGGGCCACCCCGCCCCGGTGTGAGCAGTAAAACGTGGCTTTCAAACGCCTCTCGTCTCGTCTGTGCGCTCCGGAGCCCGGCTCGGGCAAGGGTGGGCTCCATGGAGGGGTGCGGGGGGGTCCTCCCGTGTGCCCCTCGCCCCCCGGTACACGTGGGAGGGGCGGGGCGGGTCCCGGGGCTGTGGCGCGCAGCGGCCGGCAGGGGGCGCTCGGCGCCACCCGCGCATGGGGCGGTGCCGTGACGCGGTTCCGCGCGCATTCCGGTTCCGGTCGCCCCTTTTCTCAGCAGCGAGGCCGCGGGTGCGGGCGGGCAGGAGCCGGGGGAGGAGAAGGCCAGGACCCGGGAGCGGGGCGGGGGGAATCCGGTTGGTGGGGGGGTGGGGAGGGGGGGGAGTTCCGGTTTGGGGGAGGGGCACCGGTGGTGACGGCGCGGGCGCGCCCCGCAGGAGCCGCCGGTGCCACGATGCAGATCTTCGTGAAGACGCTGACCGGTAAAACCATCACCCTGGAGGTGGAGCCCAATGACACCATCGAGAACGTGAAGGCCAAGATCCAGGACAAGGAAGGTACCAGTGTGGGGTAGGGGGGGGGGCAGTCCCGGTGTGTTCTTCCCCGTGTCCCCGCACCGCCCTCACCCGCACCACGGCTGCCCCGCAGGGATCCCCCCGGACCAGCAGCGCCTCATCTTCGCGGGCAAGCAGCTGGAGGACGGCCGGACCCTCGCCGACTACAACATCCAGAAAGGTGCCCCCGGCCTGTACCACTTGGCTTGGGGGGGGGGGGGAGAAGGGGAACGGGAGGGTAACGTTTGTGCTCTCCGTGACCGCTCCGTTTCCTTCCAGAGTCCACCCTCCACCTCGTGCTGCGCCTGCGGGGGGGCATCATCGAGCCCTCCCTGCGCCAGCTCGCCCAGAAGTACAACTGCGACAAGATGATCTGCCGCAAGTACGGACCCGTGCCCCCCCCCCCGCGTGGTCCCTATCGCCGCCGTCGGGGCTCTGCTGACCCGTTCCCCCCCTCTCCGTAGGTGCTATGCCCGCCTGCACCCCCGTGCCGTCAACTGCCGCAAGAAGAAGTGCGGCCACACCAACAACCTGCGCCCCAAGAAGAAGGTCAAGTAGAGCGGGCTCCGCTCTGCCCGAGCCCTGCCAATAAAGAGCTCAGCCCCGCAACGCTCCCGCCTGGTTTTTTGCCCAAATCCGCGTGGTTTTTAATGAAAATAAACGGGGGATGCGGGGAGGGGGAGCTGGGGAGAGGCGCGATACCGGTCGCTGCCTGCAGGGGGCGGTGGAGCCGCGCTCCGCCCTCCGCCGGGCCTGCGCCGTGCGACCGGGGCCAGGCCATGGTGAGCGGGGAGCGGGGGCCGCAAGGCGCGTCCGGGAGGCTGCGGGGGGATCCGGGGCCGCTCCGTGCACGTGTGCCCGGGTCGTGGGTGCGGCGATGTCCGGTGCATGGGCATGGGCGGTGTTGCGGGGTCCCGGCGCCGGTTCGGTCCCTGCACACGTGGCCGGGAGGAGCTCCCGGGGCCGGAACCGGACTGAGCTCAAGCGCTGCCGCCGGGCTCCCCTAAGGCCGGCGCTGGGGGGTGGGGGACACGCTCGGTCAGCACCGGAGCCGCCCGGTGAGGCCGCGGGCACGTACCGGTGGCTCCGTCGTCCCCCGCCGCCGCCATCCCCATCTCTCCGCAGACGGGCGAGCCCGTGCAGGCGCTGCTGCGGCGGCTGCGGGCGCTGCAGGGCGAGCGGGCCGAGGCGTACCGGCTGCTGGAGCAGTGAGTACCGCGGAGGGAACCCCCGCCCCCCCCCCCCAGCCTTCCGGCTTCGTTCAGAGCCCGTCGGGGCGGAGCTGCTGAGCTCCGGCTGCGGGGGATGCCGGTGTTGGGCATCCCATTGCAGCATCGGGACACGGGGGAGCGACGGGACACGGGCTGGGGGGGGAAGGGGGCAGAATCCTGTCACACACACACAGAAAGGGGCGGCCGGATCTGCCCTCGGTGAGGGGGGGAGCTGCCTGGTCACAGGGACCAAGAGCTGCCAAAGCTGGGTAGGGGCGACCTTAGGGCAGCTCCAGTGCCTAAGGGGCTGCAGGAGACCAGGAGAGGGGCTTGGGACAAGGGTGCAGAGACAGGACAATGGGAATGGCTTGAACCTGCCCGAGGGGAGACTGAGCTGAGCTCTGAGGCAGAAGCTCTTCCCTGTGAGGGTGCTGAGGCGCTGGCACAGGGTGCCCAGAGAAGCTGTGGCTGCCCCATCCCTGGCAGTGCTCAAGGCCAGGTTGGACACAGGGGCTTGGAGCAAGCTGCTCCAGTGGAAGGGGTCCCTGCCCGTGGTTGGAACTGGATGAGCTTTAAGCTCCCTTCACCCTAAACCAGTCCATGATTCTATGCTATGAAACCCCTCCTGGCTCTGCCAGTGGCGAAGGGAGCTCAGCGCAGGGATGTGGACCGTGGGGTGTTGCCGTCCTGCTGTGCTGTGCTGACGGCGGCTCCCCGCCATGCACAGGGGCCACCGCGCGTACCTGAGCACCGCGCCGCACTATGACTTCCCGCGCTACCGGCAGCTGGTGCACGAGGTCACGGGGGCCTTCAGCAGCATCTCCCGGGAGGTGCTCAGCATCACCGCGCGCCTGCGGGATGAGCTCGCCCGCCCCGACCTGGCCCAGCACCTGGCCCGGCTGCAGGAGCGGGAGCAGGAGAAGCTGCAGCTGGTGAGTGTGGGGCTGGGGTCATGGGGGGCATTGATACCCAGGGCTGCTTTACGGGGGTCCCAGCTCCCGCTGTGTCCCCATGCAGACAGCACAGCTCCAGCTGGCCCAGCAGCAGGCACAGGACCAGCCCCACGTGGATGCCCATCAGCAGGAGGTGCAGGAGCTCAAGCACAAGTAGGTGGTGGCCCCGCTGCGGCTTCGTTCTGTCCCGTTTCGGGATGGCAGCGTTCCCCATGGCGATAGGAGCCCCCTCCCCACATTTCCAAGGGGGGCCCAGATGGTGCCTTCAGCCGCGCTCAGGGCCGCAGCCCCAGGGAGGGTTTGGCGATGCTGCGCGGTCCCCTCGGCCTCCCCGGGCTGAGTGTTTCATAAACAGCGCGGGGAAGGCGAGGCGGCCCACATAATACGCTCCATATGGGCTTTATTTATAGTTTCCATCCGCTCTCGTAGGCTAATTAAAACCATTGAGGCAATCAGCGAAATTCTCCAGGACCTCAAGTACGATTCGGAAGAAGCCGAGTGATGGATGTCCCCGTGGGAACGGCTGGAGGGGCCGGGCGGTGGAACGGGGGCCCCGCGCGCCATTCCCGGCCCCCGGCGCAGCCACCCGGGCACCCACAGCACCCAGCAAGGTGGGCGCCTTCCCCCCGGCTCCTTTCCTTGAGCACAGGCTGGAAGGGGTGAAGAACACCCCCACCTCTCCAGGAGGAGCGGGGTCCCCCTAAGTCCCGAGCATCCCTCAGCAGAGGGGTCCAGCGCGGGGCTGGTTCCGCTTCCCAGCTGCACCAGGGCTTTCTGCCCAAGGGAAACCACAACGCGCAGTGCCAAGGGGCTGCCTTGCTTTGATCCCCATGGAGATGGGCACTGCCTTCACTGCCAGCTGGCACCCCAGGTGCAGCAGCCCCCCAAAAGCATCTCTCGGATCAGCTGCACCCCCAGCCCCGGCACAGCTTCAGTGCCCCACTAGCGCTGTTTCTATGGTCATCCAAAATAAACCTGCCCCATGGAGCTGAGTTGTGTGGTCTAATTGGCTTCACTGTGTCCCCCAGTGCCACCCCCTTCGGCTTGCCTTGGTCCCTGGGGATGGGGTGACCACGGGCAAGGGTCCCCTTTGGCTGCCGCTGCATCCCCATCCCCGCGCTGCTGCCACTGACGCAGACCCTGGTGGGGTTTCAGAGGTTTATTGGCATTAAGCTTAAATCTGTTCCTAATTGACTGAAATGGAACCAAAATAAGGCTGGTTTGAATCAAAATTGGAGCAGGCACTGGGCAAACCCCAGCAGCCTCAACCCAGCCCACGTGGCTCCCCAGGGACTGACCCCCCCCATGCGCTCGTACATGGGTCCCTGGGGAGAAAAGAGCCCAATTCACTTCCCAGGGCTGGGGTGGGGGGGAGCTGCACCGAGGGTGGGGGGCACCCAGGAAGCCCCCCCTGCCCCTTTCATCCCAGAGGCTGCTCCGGCTGGCGGGTAAGGAGCAAAGCCTCCGTGCCCCCCCCGGCCGGGCAGGGCTGGGGGGTCCCCTCGCCGCGGGGTGCGGGGGGCACCGGACCCACAGCACGTGAGGAGGGGCTGCCGGGGCTGGCCCAACGCAGGCCCCCCGCTTTACCCCATCCCATGGCCGCGCTTCGCCCCGGCCGCCTTCCTGCTCCGCGCCGGCGGGGCCGGGGGGGCCGCGGGTGGCCCCGGGCGGGTGCCGGGCGCCCCGTGTGGTCCTGGCGGCGCTCGGGCCCCCGCGGGCTACAGCTTACCGCCGGGAAGCACCTGCGGAGAGAGAGGAGCAGAGCCCCGCGTAGCCGCCGGGTCCGTGCCCCCCCATTGCCCCCCCCTCAAGGCCGGGGATAGAAGTGCGAACGGCTCCTTACCTACCTGGTTGCGTGCTTTGTGCGACTTCTGCAGCCACACGCGCCACTGGTCGTAGAGCTTGATGCCCAGGTTGGAGCAGCCGTAGGCGTGCTTCTTCACCCACCCGAAGAACTGCTTCAGCTCCCGCCGCAGCGTCGTGTTCTGCTCCCCTCCTTTGGGGTCGCAGCTCCCCGCCGCTCGCTCTGTGGGGATAAGGGGGGCGGTGGCACCGGGAAGCCCCCCCCTCTCCATTGCCACCGCGCGGTGCCGGGGGAGAGGAAAACCAGTGGGGATTTGGCTCCCAAGTGAGGAAACCAAGCTCCAAATTGGCTCTTGTGCAAGAAACCCAAGTGCTGGGCGTGGAGCAGGGAAGGGACCCCCCTGTGTGTGCCAGGGATGGGGAGCACGGCGCCACCGGCATCTCTGCCCCCCCAAAGGATGGCAGCGGCACTCACCGCTGCG